TATCAGGATAATGCTTGCTTCCAGGAATGAATTTGGGAGTATTGTTTCCCTTTCAATTTCATTAAAGAGTTTGAAAAGTAGTGGTAGTAGGTCTTCTCTAAATTTCTTGTAGAATTTAGCAGTGAATTTATAAGGACCTGCGCTTTTCTTTGTTGGTAGGTTTTTAATTACATTTTCAATTTCATTGACTGATATTAGCTTACTTAGAGCTCTTTTTTTTTCTTTTTGAGACAGGGTCTCCCTATGTAGTTCAGGCTGGCCTTGAGCTCATTTTGTAGCCCAGGCTGGCCTCAAATTCACAACGATCCTCCTGCCTCAACCTCCCGAGTGCTGGGATTACAGGTGTAATCCACTCCCGGCTTACTTAGAATTCTTATATCTTCTTGATTCAGCTTTGGTAATTCATATATGTCTAGGAATCTGTTCATTTTTTCTGAATTTTCTATGTTATTGGAATTCAAGTTCATGAAGTAGGTATAGATGGTCTTCTGGATTTCTGCAGGATCTGTTGTGTTTTCACCCTTTTCATTCCTATTTGCATGATTTGAGTCTTTTCTTTCCTTTTTTATGAGGTTGGCTAGGGGTTTGTTTATTTGATTTAATCTTTCAAATAAGTAACTCTTCAGTTTATCAATTTTTTGTATTATTTTCTTAGTCTTCATTGTATTGATTTCTGTCCTGATCTTAATAATTTCCTCTCTTTTGTGAGCTTTGGGTTTGACTTACTCTTTTTTTTTCTAGAAATTTGAGGTTCAACATGAAATTATTTATTTGAGGTCACTCTATTTTCCTGATACTGGTATGCACCCCTATACATTTCCCTTGTAGAACTGGTTTCTTTTTCATATTGTCCTATAAGTTCTGGTATGTGGCACTGGCATTACTGTTTAATTGTATAAACTGTCTAATTTCTGCTTTAATTTCATCTGCGGCCCATTGGTTTTTTTGGGAGGGCGTTATTTAATTTTCATGTGTTCATGAAGTTCTTGTGGCTTCTTTTTCCACTGATTTCCAATTTCATTGCACTATGGCCTGATAATATGCATGGGATAATTTCAATTCCATTGCGTTTACTTAAGCATATTCTGTGAGCTCATATGTGTTCTATTTTGGAGAACATTCTATATGCAGCTGAGAAGAATATGTATGCTGATGTTGTGGGGTGGAACACTTTGTAGACATTTACTAAGTCCATTTATTCACAGGTTTTCTACATCTCTAATATTTCATTTTTTTTTTTTGTCTAGTTTATCTATCTGTGATAGTGGGGTATTGAGGTACACCTTTACAACTGCTTTAATGCTTATTGTATTTTTCATGTCCATTAATTTGTTTTACATAGTTGGGTGCACTAGTTTTTGGTGCATATATATTTATGATTTTTTTCTCTTCCTTTTGAATTGTTCCCTTTACAAGTATATAGTGACCTTCTTTTTCTCTTTTAATCAGTCTTGGTCCTGAGCTCAGTTGGCCCCTCTCCAAGATGGCTCCCAGCCAATCACCCTCCCTGTGGAGGGAGACATCTGTCTAAGAGTACACATCAGCCACAGCAGTCCTCTGCATCCACCGCACCCCTCCACTTGTGTGCCTCTCTGTGGAAACCTCTACAGTCCTCAGCGATTACCATGCAGCTGCAGTTTCAAGCCACCCCTCCTACACAGCAAGTCCACACTCAAGGAGAAAGCCCGGCCTGCCTCCTCCTTCCTTGCTGAAGTTTCACTCTTTACGCTTCCTGTGGGCTTCAGTTCTCACTCCAGATCCTTCCTGGGTCCTGAGGACTCACTTCTCTCATTCTTCTCTTCCTCATGTTTCTACATTCCATTGTTTGTACACCAAATCTCAGGGAGGCTCTTTCTCTGCTGTCACCACTCCATCCTTTTCCTGGAAGTCTAAAACTGGCTCACGGTGTTGCCAAGATAAAAATAAGTTGCGTGCTGAGAAGTGCCAGGTTCCTCTCTTCAAGTAGGTCACGTTTCTTTTCTTTTCAAATTTTTTTTATTTTAAAGAGAATAAAAAACTAACAAAATAACAACAACACAGACACAAACAAAACAAAGCAAAAACAGTAAAAATGATAAGGGTTTCAAAACAGAATGATAGGGATTAACAGTGGTTGTTATATTACATAGTGTTATCTTCAATGAAGTTGCTCAGATTACCAGCTGTAAGAATGCAAGATTGATCAAACCATTAAAGAGAATAAAAAATAATTAAAAAACACTTAGAAACAATACAGAGCTTCACCAAACAAGATGGTAGGAATTCACCAATGGTTGTTATCTTGCATATTGTTGTCTTTTCTTGAGGGTCCTGGTCCCCTGGGCCCCAGGCATGGCCACACCTGGGTCCCCTGCTGTCTGCACTGCTCTGAGGAGGCTTTGTGTGGCTGCAGGCTGGAGTGCAGGCTGGGCCGTCAGCAGGGAGTCTGGGCCAAGTTGTCCAGGTGCCTCAGAGGAGAGGGCTGCTGGGGATCCATGCACCCACTTCCACGGGCATTTGCGTTCTGAGGGGCTCCTTTAGGCCAGTTTCTCTGAACAGTGATGGAGGTCTCCCTGGCACTCTTTCCTGGCTTCTCTCTGATTAGGTAATTGGCACTGCAGGCAGGAATCCCTTCGAACCTCATTGTAATACTTTCTATCACAAGGGATGATAAAGCATATTTTCCATAGAAATGACCTGTCAAAGACCTTTTGTAGCTGGGACTGGTGGCACATGCCTGCAATTCTAGCATCTGGGAGGCTGACACAGGAGGATCACATGTTTGAATGCAGCCTAGGCAATTTAGTGACTTAGCAGAACTCTAAATTAAAAAAAAATTTTAAGGGGCAAAGGGTTTGGGTTCAATCCCCCATGTAAAAAAAAAGACCCTTCATGAGTGTGAAAATAATTCACAACATTATTTACCTATTGTTAGTAATAGCAATAAATGAAAGAAAACACAATATTTTCTACATGTAAGTATTTGGCAAAAGTTTACATATACTCCTATCGAGTCAATCTTTACACTAGTAAATTAAGAAAAATTAAACTGGAGACTGAGCATAGTGGTGCATGCCTGTAATCCCAGCACTTTGGAGGCAAACGCAGGAGGATTGCTGTGAGTTTGAGGCCAGCCTGAGATACATAGTGAGTTCAAGGCCAGTGTGAACTACACGGTGAGACTCTGTCTCAAAAAAACAATAACAAAACAAATTAGAACTTTTGGATCACCGGGCATGGTGGCGCACGCCTGTAATCCCAGCACTCGGGAGGCTGAGGCAGGAGGATCGTTGTGAGTTCGAGGCCAACCTGGGCTACAAAGTGAGTTCAAGGCCAGCCTGAACTGCGTAGCGAGACCTTGTCTCAAAAAGACCAAAAAAACCAAAAAACTTTTGGATAAGGTTTTTTGGCATTTTTGTTGTTGTTGTTGTTGTTGTTGTTGTTGTTGTTTTACAAACTATAAATTTCAAAGCAAAAATAAGTCAGAATCAAAACTGACAACAAAGCTGGGTGAAGTGATGAATGTCTGTAATCCCAGCACTCGGGAGTTTGAGGCAGGATGATTGCTTTGAGTTCAAGGCCAGTCTGAACTACATAGCGAGACCCTAGCTCAAAAAAACAAACAACCCCCAAACCAACAAAACAACCAGTTTATAAACCCACAGGTATGGAGACTGAAGTCTGGGTACAGCTTAGTGGGGTCTGCTGCTCAGTCTCAAGAGGCTACAATCACCCTGGCATTTCTAGGAGCCCTGGGAAGAATTTACTTCCACGTTTATCGCTCATGGCTAAACCCAGTTCTTAGCTAGGGGACTAAGGCCCAGTTTCGTTTCTGCCCATCAACTCTGAGCCACCTTGAGCCCTCGGGGTCATGCGGTGCTGCTGCATGCACCCTGACAGCCAGCAGGAAGAAAGCCGCTCGGCGAATCCACCTCGTGATGTGCCTTTCCCAGGAGCGAGGCAGCGAGGGAGGCAGCTGTCCCTGCTGAGTGCTCACCTGCTTAGGGCAGGCTGAGTCAGCACGATCTCTTTTCCGACTTCGGCTGACTGGGGACCTCTGTAACAGCTGCAAGATCACGTGGCACCTGGATTAATGTCTGATGTGCATAGCCAGAGCAGGGGTGGGCCTTCTGTAATAAGTCTGTGTTTTAGTCAGCTTGTAGCAAAATGCCACCTCTGGCAGGCCTCAGGAGAAGCGCTTGTGCTCACAGACTGATGTTGAAATCAAGGTCAGCGGGTTGCAGTCTCCCGAGGCCCTGGACTGCTCTCCTCCAGCCTGTGTGGCCTTCTGCTCTGCACACGTGTGGTCCTGGTACCTCTTATAAAATACTGGGCACAGTGGCTTAGGGCTTCAGCCTGTATCTTTGGAAGACACAATTCTGTCCAAAACAGTCTGATAACAAAACTGAGAGCCAATAGTTATCGATCTACTTAGGCATGTTTTGTGCTCGCAGGCAGGCTATCTCATTAAAAATAAACCACTAAATTAAATGACGTACCATCCTGTACAATTCCAGGTATATCAAAGTGTTCCCTTTATTCTTGATTAAAAGTCCTGTAAGATTTCTTTTGTGACCCAATTGTTAGGGCTATTTTCTCTGTGTGTCAGGCCAGTCTGAGGACAGTCCTTCACCTGCAGAGGGGCGGAAGGGCGGCAAGGAGCAGTCCGTGCCCCAACCTCGGACAGCGCTGTGCAGGAGGCCCCAGCTCGTAAGCATCCGATTCTGCTCTCTTCTTGAGCCACCCGGCGCTGCCATGGGCTGCACCGTTCTGTCGTGGGGGGCTTTAGGCGAGGTCTGTGACTGGCAGTGAGAAGCAGGACGCGAGGACGCCACACCTGAGTCACCGCCTGCGAAGAAGCAGAGCCGCCTTCTCAGACGAAGCCACAGCCTCGCGGGCCAGCGCGGCTCAGCTGTGCTGGATGCGGTGGTGGTGGTGGGGGTGTGGCCCAGCCCCAACCCGCAGCGGATAAAGGGCGCCCGCGGATAAAGGGCAGCCGGCGCCCGCCTTGCCCTCCCGCAATCATGGAGGAGGCGCCCTATCTGGAGCTTTACTTGGACCCGTGCGCCGTCCAGGTGAGTCTGGGAGCCACGGCAGAGCCGGGCACCTCCAGCTCCAGGCGTGTGTTCCCAGGTTGGCGCCCAGGTCCTAGTCCTGGTCCCGGTCCCAGCCCCAGTGTCCCTGGCCGCTGGCTCGGCTGTGCTGGCATGGGGACCCCTGTCGCCAGAGGACGCGGCTGGGTCTCTGGGACGGCTGGAGAAGTGGTCGCCTAGGGATTGGGGTTGCAAGAGGCGACCAAAGGCACTTGAGGTTTCTTTCAATTAACTCCCAATTACACACTGGGGGTTGAACCTGTAGCCTTTGCCCCGAGCCTTTTTCAACATTTTGATACAAGGGCCCACTCCTACGCCAGATGACCCAGGCTGGCCCTGATCCGGGGCTCAAGAGACCCTCCTGCCTCAGCGACCCAGACCGCACAGGCCCGCCCCTACGCCGCGCAATCTCCAGATGGTTTTAAACCTTTAGAGTCGAGGGTTGTAGAGGAGACCACGGTGTCTTCAAAAAAGAGCCAAAGAGCCACTGTTTGTAGCTGAGAGTTCGTGGTAGGGGGAGGGTCACGGGTCTCGAGGCTCAGCCCAACCCCGGCTGAGGCAGCCTGGAAGCCGGGTGGGGCGCGGCGAGAACAGGTCTTACAGGCGCACGCGCACTGAGCAGCGCTGGGGAGAGACCCGGGGTTCTGGGGATCCCGGGTCTGGGCAAGGCCGGGGCTCAGGCAAAGGCTCCTGGGTCCCCTGCGTGGCCCAGGGACTCCGAGGTGCCCGGGCGTGATGCCCAGGGCGAGCGCTGGCCGGGTTGGCTGGTTTGACAGCTCTGTCCTTCCCTAGTGTGTTTGATGGGAGGAGAGAGAGACCCCGAAGAGACCCCGGCAGCTGCGCGGAGCGGAGGGACGGCCCACGACACCCTACCAAGTGAATCCCGTTTCAGGAGAATAGTATCGTGTTCCTAAGTGTTTTTCTTTTGAGCAACTGATCATCTGCCTCTGCAGGACTCGGAAAGGCTAAACAACACGACAGGGCCCGGCTGGTGGGGTTAGGGTAGGCAGCTTCGTCCCGGAGCGCAGAAGTAAAATCTAGGCGCAGGTGGTCCGGCCAGCAGGCGCGGCTGGGTGGAAGCAGGTGGTAAGGCGCATAGCAGGGAGATGGGATTTTTCAATGATAAACCCCGTGAATTTCATAGCAGCTGCTTCCTGGAGGGACCCTATGTCCCCACCATCCATCGCTTTCCGGACCGGAAGTACTACACAATGACTTAAACGTTTTTTTTGGGGGGGGGAGGGGGTACCAGGGATTGAAAACAGGGCCTTTCACCAAGGTACATTCCCAGCACTTTAGAGAAAAAATTGTTTTTTTTGAGATGGGTTCTCGCTAAATTACTAAATTGAACAGACTGTGCTTAAATTTGCAATCCTCCTGGCTCACCCTCCCTCCCAGGATGCTGGGGTTTCAGACAAACACCACTACCTCTGGGGTAAGCATATTTTGTTTTGTTTTTGTGGTGTTGAGGATTGAACCCAGATCCTTATGCATGCTAAGGCAAGCACTCTACCCTTGAGTTACAACCCAGTCCAAACTGCTCTTAACATTTAAATTTAATTCTTTCTTCCTTATCTCTTCCTTGACTAAAAAACATGATGCAGGGTCATTTTGAATACTAGCATTCAAGACTATATTTTAACTTCACATAATTTTTTCCTCTAAAATATGAATGTGAAAGTAAAAATAATTTAAATCAATTAAATTTATAGTGAACTCAGGTAACCGTGAATCTGTTCAGGGTTCACACAATACAGGACATAGTTGCTCAATTGCTTCTTTTACAAAATTGAATTGAACTTGATGAGTTAATAGGTATGTCGTGCAAGTAGGAAAAGCATTTTGTGACAAATGTCTTCTCTGCATTTAAAAATAGACTTTCCTGTTTCTGTGCAGTATGCCATAATACTGTAGTAGACCCTAACGGGACTTTGTAGAAAGAGGTAAGGCATGAGTATAAGCAGTCTCGAGCTGCTGCTCAGCCTGAGCTCACTACCAGCATGATGTCTCCTTGGTGTAACACTGCTTTGTTGTTGTTTGTTTCTTCTGGGAACTGCGTAGGATGACCTTGTCCCAGCCTTGTCTCCTCTGTTCAGCCCAGTTGTACCCTGTGATGTGTACACACCTCATTCATCCAATCCAGAGACAACATTGGAGTCGCATCTTGAAGAAGTCAAAGAAACATCTGGTGATTTCTCATCTATGGATCTTATCTTCCTACCAGATGAATTGACTCAAGAAAATAGAGACCAGACTGTCATTAGAAGCCAGCATGAAACTGAAGAAAATTGCAAAGCTCAAAGTCATCAAAATAAGTTGCCATTACCTGGCGAACAGGATGTTGAGCTGGGCTTGCACAGCAGTGGTTTACCAAATCCCTGCGCACATCCATGCCCGAGTGCTGCCGACTCTGCCCAGCCCTCACCTGAGAAACCAGTCTCCGGGGCCTTGCCTCTGGCCATAACCGCCATGACTCCAGTGGCCCCTGCCTCAGAGTGCTCTGGCATTGTGCCGCAGCTGCAGTGAGTGTCTGTCTGTTCTTGCTTGGTTCCCTTTCATTGGGATACGTTTGCACTACACTGTTTTTAAATTGAGGGGTGCCTGTGGGTACACATTTTATATTCCTGGATGTGATGACAACCAATTTCTTTTTTTTTTTTTTTTTGGTTTTTCTCCGGTACCGGGAACCGAACTCACGACCTTGTGCTTGCCAGGCAGGCGCTTTGCCACTGAGCTGACATCCCCAGCCCTGACAACCAATTTCAATATAATAGTGTACAGAGAATTTCTGAATTCATTATTATCAGTTCTTAACGATTTATCATTTTCAGACAGTTTGGCTATTTGTAAAATGAAGCACTAATTTTTGAACCCTTAAGAGAGGGTAAGAAATTAATAGATACATTCTTGAAGGATGGCTTGTTTATACTACCTCACTGCAGTGCTGAAAATTGTGGTTATGGTTGGGTAAACACAAAAGATGTAAAGAAGGGAAATGGAATTTGATTTGCAAGTTGATTAGAAATTGTGGTTTCTATTTTGAGGCAGTGTTTTTTAAAGTTTAAAACAATTTTAGTCATGAAATTTTAGAAAAAGCCATTTTGGCATTTGGGATTTACACCTTACCAAGAACTATGTTACTCTATATTTCACACTGAGAAGAGTTCTCCCTCCAGAAAGTGGCTAAGGTATAACCTATGATATAAGGGAGTTAATAGATTTTTGTCTTTTAAAATTCTATTCTATGTAATTTTCTAAATAGACTTATTTCTTCAGGAACATAGTTTCCACTGTGAACCTGGCCTGTAAATTAGATCTCAAGAAAATAGCTTTGCATGCCAAAAATGCAGAGTATAACCCAAAGGTAAGACTTCTCAGGATCCTTTCAACGTTTTGGTTTTCCTTAAATTTACTTCCTATGATCATGATATTGATGCATTCTTTTGTTTTTTTCTTTAAAAAATTTTTAGTGAAAGGTTTTGGCAGTATAAAAATTTAACTATCTCACTTTCTGTTTTGAAATTATAAGAAGTAATTTTATTGTGCTGAATAAATCAGTATTTTAGTGGTTTTTAAAACTAAGATTTTTTTAAAAGCTGGATGTGGTGCATCAACTGATGAAGTGATGAAAGATTGTGTGTGTGTGTGTGTGTGTGTGTTTAACAATGCAGTTCAACTCTACCATAAAGAAAGATAAGCTTGAGACATTTCTACCTAAATGGATGGATGCACCTTGAGGCCATTCTCTTAAGTGAAATAAATCAGACACACATGTGTAAATACCACATTGTTTCTCTGGTGTGAGAAACTGAAAGTGTAAATAAGGACCAAAATATGTAATAGATATCATGAAATAGGAAGCAAGTGTTCAAACGGGAAGGGGGATTCGGGGTTGGGGAAAAATAATGAGAAAAGAAAGAGAAAAATGGAAACAAGTCTTTTGTAAATAAAAAGGGGTTGAACAGAGGGTAGGGGAATAGGAAAAAAAAAATCAAGTTTTATATGTACAGGTACAAATTCCCTATAATGAATATAATCATAAACTTAATTAATTTTTTTAAAAACTTGGACATGGTGGTACATGGTGGTAATTCCAGCACTCAAGAGGCTGAGGCAAGAGGATAACTACAAGTTTGAGGCCATTTTAGGCTACGTATTGAGTTCAAGGCCAGCCTGAACTACAAAGTGAGACCTTGTGTCAAAAAACCAAAAAATAAATAATAAAACTAAGATTTTTCTTTGCAGTCAAGATCTTTCAGTATGACTATTTTTTTTTTTTTTTTTAGCCTATTGGGACCTTGGCTTCCTTAAAATGCCATCATCTTCTTGTAAACAATTATTTCTAAACATTGTCCCACCTAGCTGACACTTAGACATTTTTCCTTTTAGAAGTTGTCTTATTTGAGAAGGTCAATTTGTTTAAAATTCTAATTGCTAAAGTAAGATACAGGGTTTTTCTTTTTTCTCCTCAGAGTTTGATAAGATGGATTCTTTGTGCCTTACAAGGGCAGGCAACTGGTCTCCCATGACCTGCTGCCCACAGGATTTGTTAAAAGAATTAATATGTAGTGATTTGTCAGGCCTCAAGCTGGGGGGTGCAAAGATGAGCATGTAGCCTGGTCCTCTGGGAAATGTTCACTGGCTTAGTGCAGGTCGGGGAGCACTTATGGGGTCATAGTCGTAGGAATGCAGGAATCAACTACTTATGGATTAAGAATTTGTTTTTGCTGCTTCGGTAGTATTGATGCTGACTTCTGAATCTAATATAGCTCTCCTTTTTTATGCAGCTTGTATTAGTGGCTGTGATAAGAGCAGAAACACAATAATGAGCTAGAATCCTTATGGCAGCAGCAGTGGCTGACCACCATATTGAACAGCCAGCATCTTAAGCATATTCTCCACCACACCGAGCCTGCATTTTATTTTCCTTTTCTTTGTGTGTCTGTGGGGGAAATAGAGTCTGATGTTGGACCTAACACTCAAAGGAATCCTGGCATGGCACCTAAGCTACTCTAAGAATTTAACAAAATGGCCAGGTGTGATGGCACATGCCTGTAATTCCAGCACTTGGGAGGCTGAGGCAGATCACTGCAAGTTCAAGGCTAGCCTGGGTTACATAGTGAGTTTAGGGACAGCCTAAACTATACAGTGAGACCCTGTCTCAAAAAAAACAAACAACTGCCCCCCAAAACAAAAAAAGAATTTAACAAAATGAATACCAGGTGAGTTTACCTTTTAGTATACTCTTGTAAAACATCACTAGAACATGATCAGCTCTATGTAGTGCTGACTCCGCATTCTGTATGTTTCTACTTTAATCTCAAATTGCCTTTCTGACCATGAAATGATCCATGATCTTGTGGAGTAGCATAGACCAGACATGTATTCTTGCATGATACCGTCCCATTTTCAATCCCAGCTGACTGCAGAGAGGAGACTCAGTGACGGATGTCTGTGGCAGATAAGGAGGCATATTTAGTGACGTGTCAGTGTGGTGGACCAGTGGTTCTCAGCCCGCAGCACCACCTGGAGGGCTTGCCAGTGCTGCTGGGCTGGGGACCACACTCTGAGAATTACTACTGAAAGCACTTGGCAAAGCAGCTTTTCCCTTCATCTTCAGCATGCCAGTCACTGTATACACTGTTCTGGTTTTGTTTGGTGCCTTCTGGAGTCTAGGGAGGCCTACAACACACTGTACTTCGTACTCTCTTTTCCAAAGATTCTTTGAAAGAAAAAGGAAGCATGTCAATGTAATGGTCTGAGTAGTTGTGGTTTTGTGTAACTTTACCATTTCTTATGTAACTTTACCATGTCTTATGTAATATTGGAGGTTAAATAACTACTTAACTCGTTGTGAACTAAGGAGGGATAACTCAAATTATCCTCTCAAGAGGACAAATGAGAAAAAACCTGCGAAGTTCTTAGGACGGGATCTGCAACATAACAGATACTCAAATTTTAGCTGTTAAAATTACTTGTACTTATTATTAAAATTACACTTTAGAGACATAATCATTTCTGTTAACATGGACAGAACAGATGCAGACAGTGGTTGGCTTTCTCATCCAGTCTCAGCTTCTTCAGACTGTCTTCCTATCCAGCCTAGCTCTTCAGCTGGGCCAGTGTTAATTCCTAACAGAGGTCGGTTCGCTCCTCACTTCTCGTTGTTTCCCTCTTGGTGTCCTTGCACAGAGGTTTGCTGCTGTCATCATGAGGATTCGAGAGCCCAGGACCACAGCCCTCATCTTCAGCTCTGGGAAAATGGTCTGCACAGGAGCTAAAAGGTATGGAGGAGCACCCCAAACCTTCCTAGACAGGAAGTTCACTGTGAAAGCAAGGAACATGGCATTAATATTTGAAAGCACGTAGTAGAAACAAAATATTTTTCTTAGCTGAATAGTTAACTTCATGAAATGCCAAGTTGTGAGTTAAAAGCACTCAGTCTTTTTTTTTTTTTTTTAATTTTTGAGGCAGGGTCTCGCTATGCAGTTCAGGCTGGCCTTGAGCTCACTTTGTAGCCCAGGCTGGTCTCAAACTCACAACAATCCTCCTGCCTCAGCCTCCCGAGTGCTGGGATTACAGGTGCGCGCCATCATGCCTGGCTAAAAGCACTCAGTCTTATAATATTGAGTTATACCCCACACTTTACAGTCCTTCTGTTAAACCAAAGGGAGTTAACTGGGCTATTACAACTGTTTTTAAGGTGAATTACAATTTTTAAAAAGCTTCAGTAATGACAATGCATGTTATAACTTTGAAAAGTTATAAGTTAAAAGCATGTAGTAAGTGGAGAAGTTGTTACTGTGTGTGGATTTTCTTCTTTGCAGATCAGTGGATAGAATTTTATGAGTTAGGTATTTCTTGTGCCTTGGCCCACTAGGAATCTCTGAAAAGACCTGCCTTTCCCAGATCTCCTATAGGGCTGAGGCCTGTGGGCTGCTGTGTGTTCTCACACCACCAAGGATACAGGAGAGCTGCTCTCCTCATCAGTGTTAGAAATGGGTAGCAAGTCTTCCTCCTGAAGGCTGTGGCAGCTCATCCTCAGCTGGCACTGTGCGCCACGTTGATTTTCTCCTATGAACACTGCCTGTCTTTACCATTTGTAGTCTGCCGTGATTACATACATCTGTAGTTCTGGCATTCTGGGAGGCTGACGCAAGTTCAAGCCCAGCCTGGGCAACTGAGCGAGACCTTGTCTCAAAGTAAAAGTCTTGCAGAACAACTGGGGTTGTAGCTCAGTGCAAAGACCTTGAGTTTGATATCCAGTACCAAAAAACAAAAGAAACAAAACCTCATTTATATTTAGCAATTTAATTGGCAAAAGTTTATGTTGTTTTAATTTATATTGCCTTAACTACCAGTTAGATTACCTATGTTCATATGCAAATTGTAAATTGCTTACTATGTCTTTGGACCAATATTCTATGGAGATATTTATCTTTTGTTAGTAACTTTTTTTTTTTTTGAGACAAGGTCTTGTTATGTAATTCAGGCTGGGCTTGAACTCATTTTGTACCCCAGGCTGGCCTGGAATTTGCAGCCATCTTCCTGCCTCAGCCTCCTAAGTGCTGGGATTACAGGCAGGTGCCACCACACATGGCTGTTAGTAACTTTTTGCATTTAAGATTTATTTCCATCTCAGCACTGAGGATTAAACATAAGTCCTTTGCACTGAGCTACGTCCCCAGCCCTTATTATTTATTGTTTTGAGACAGGGTCTTGCTAAGTCACAAATTTGTCTAGGCCAAGCTCAAACTCATGACTCTTCTGCCTCAGCCTCGTAGAGTGCTGGAACTACAGATGTATGCCCCACACTTAGTGAATTTAAGTATTTTTACCAATTTATGCTATAAATATTTTTGTAGGTTACTATTTATTGTTTTGCATTGACTTTATTAAAACATAACTTAAACTTCTACTTGTATAGTCAACCTATCTAATATTTTTCTTTATGGTTTCTTTTTTTCTTTTTTTAATTTACTTTAAAAATAAAAGAATGAAAACATATTAACAGACATCCATTTACAAAATTGCATAAGAACAATACAAGCAATACCGAATTACAGACAAAGTGGTAGGAAATTAACAATGGTGGCTGTATTATGTATTGATATCTTCAAAATGGTTTCTCAGGAAAACAGAGACATGCACGATTAATGAAATAATTAATCATTAACTGTTCCTCTCAGTAAAGCAACAGAAGTCAGTAGTGCAACTATGTTAGCTATACTGTATATACATATATACATAATTTCCCCTTCTTTTTTTTCTCTTTTCCCTCATCCCAGTTGCTCTTTACTTTTGAGCAGTTTACTTTCATTTCAAAATGTCTAGCATACCTCCTAATTTTTATTCACTCTTTCAGGTTCTTTTTTTTTTTTTTTTTCCTTAACTTCTAAATTTATTTATTTATTTATTTTGGATAAATGCTTCAAGAACAGTCACTAAGTTGGATATGTTTCTTCTTTATGCTGGGTATGAGTGGAATGTCACTTGTTTGAGAAAATCTGAACACAACAGAGCACACCTACTAATCCCAGCTACTCAGGAGGCTGAGGCAGGAGGATTGCAAATTGGAGGCCAGCTGGGCCACTTAGCAAAACCTCGTCTCAAAATAAAATGGGTTGTGGATATAGCTCAGTGCCTCTGGGTTCAATGCCCCGTAGCATTTAAAAAAAGAAGAAAAGACAACTGGAGAGATTTTGAGGTATTAAAAATTTTTTTAACATTTATATCACTTGGCACATATATATCTTCTTTCTTGATGTTGATTTTTTGGTAAGCATCTCTTTTGTCGCTTCATATTAGTAGCACATACATTTTTAGACAGATAAAGGTTCTCCAACTTCAGTACGCATCAGAAGCTTCTAGTGGGCTTGTTGACATCTGCTTGCTGGGTCCTTAGTTTGAGGTGAGACCTGGCCTTTCTAATAGATTTCCAGGTGCTGCTCCTTCCTGAGGACTCATATTGCCAATGCTGGAACAATCCATTTTATCAAATAATGCTTAAGTAAAAGCACATTATGTGCAAAAGTGACAAATTAGGGTAAAATTGGTGTACGGTTCAACAGTTTACACTGTACCAGACTTAGATAGGATGCTAGGGCCAAAGATGTGGGAGGAAGGTCCTTCTCACAGAGCCATGCACTACATGGTGAATGTGGTGCAAATAGTGAAAACACAACCAGAAGGTGATGTCAGTACAAGGAACAGTGGGAGGGGTGGTGGTCAGAATGTCTTTAATCTGACTTGTTTTCCCCTTTGCAGTGAAGAACATTCTCGACTGGCAGCGAGAAAGTATGCTCGTGTGGTGCAGAAGCTGGGCTTCCCTGCCAGGTTCCTTGATTTTAAAATTCAGAACATGGTTGGAAGCTGTGATGTGAGGTTTTCCATCAGGCTGGAAGGTCTGGTGCTTACTCACCAGCAGTTCAGCAGGTATGAGTTAGCAGGCTTGGCTCTGTGTTATAAGGTATTGAAGTTACCTTATGGGCTGCTTATATAGGGTGTTTTCAGAGAAAGCGTGATTAACTTAGAAGAAATAATGGGGGAGGGACAGTAGATCAGAGGGCTGAGTTGTGGCGCCTGGGGTCTCACCCCTTCCTCCAGGGCTCCATCTTTTGCAGTTCTGGTGCTCACATCTCACTTGTGTTGTAGTCACCTGGACAGCTTACCAAGCTTACACTCCTGGTGGGGCTGTTCATCAGAGACCTTGCTTGTATGTGCAGTCCTACAAAGCTCACTCATGATGCCAGTGCTGCTGGCTAGAGGCTCCTGTATTGAGGCCCACTCATCTACAGACTTATAAAATAGGGAACAGTGGCCTTGGGACAGGTGTGCCCGTGAGCTGGGTGGTGGGAAGCAGCTGACAGCGGGTGAGAGGAGAGTGCTGGAGAGAAGGTGCAAGAATGGCTCTAGCTTATCCTGTGAGCTTGATTCTATCCAGTTGTCTTGTTTTGTTGATGGGGCATCTTCCTGTGGGTGTAGCTTAAGTCCTACCTCAAGGTCATTTTTGATGCTTCCTCAGGAGCACCACTACATTTCACAGCTGCTTCAATAACTGCCCTCCACACAGCCAGTGCCCTCCCTGTCCACAGCTGCCCTCCAGCTGTGGTCTTGAGGGACAGCAGTGCAGGGGGCCAAGGGAACACTACCAAATCCCTGCACTCCCAGGGTATGTGTGGTGGCCCAGACACCTGACTCAATCCAGAATTATGTTGTAACCATTAGGGAAATCAGTATGTAGATTCCTCAAAAAGCTGAAACAACAAATTTCAATTAACCCTGCTAGGCTCCTCCTGCCACTTACTCATTTTATTAGATTTTTTTTTGGCATTGTTGACTTCATTGATCTTTTTAGGATATCCTTAAGAATTTTTTGGAGTGCTGACTTGGTGTTCATGAATTTCTTAAGTTCTTTCTGTCATGGAAATACATTATTTCTCATCAATTTACAAAGAAAGTTTTGTAGGATATGTAAGTCTGGGTTGAAAATTGTTCTCTTAGGGCTTGAAACACTTCACCCTAAGCTCCGCTGTCCTTTAAGGTTTGTGTTCAGAAGTCTGCTGCAGTTCTAATGGGCTTACTTTCATAAGTGATTCGTTGCTTTTCTCTAACCACCTTTAAGATTCTTTTTTTTTTTTTTTGGTTTTTTTCCGGTACCGGGAACCAAACTCACGACCTTGCGCTTGCCAGGCAGGCGCTTTGCCGCTGAGCTAAATCCCCAGCCCCCACCTTTAAGATTCTGTTCCTGTGTTGTACTTCTGGTATTGACTAGGATGTGACATTCAGAGCTTCTCTTTTGAATGTGGCTATTGCAGTTCTATATGCATCACCTATCCATATGCTTCTTTCCAAATACTTGGAAGTTTCCTGCCATCATTTCTGTAAGCAAATTTTTATACCACTTGTGCTGTTGTCTCATTTTTTACTTATTCCAATTAATCAGATTAGTGCTTTTTATACAGTGAGACCATGATTTATTTATGTATTTATTTTTTTGCATTTTTTTAATTTTAAAGAGTAAAAGAAGGAAAACATAATAATAGGGGGGACTTAGCAAATTACAGACAAAATGGTAGGAAATTATCAATGGTTATTGTTTTACATATTGTTATCTACAAAATAGTTTCTCAGGAAAACAAATAGACAAATAATAGTGAGTTAGAGACAAAAGAGGTAGGAGATTATCAAGAG